TTCTTTTTGCAGGTATCGTTATTCGTCAGGTGACCTGATCATTTTTAGTGCATGTAGGTTTGGTAAGGACTTCTTAAATTTACTGAATTCAGTAATCTCTGTGATTTTATAAAACAGGACTTGCGAGTCACAATCATATCTCTGACATCTCTGGCCGATTCAGTTTAGTGGCAACTGCGTCCAATAGGAGGCGAGGCCTCATATGTCGTCGAAACGAGTGAGTGATGCTAACAATAGAATTGCGATCTTGACCCAATTTTGACCCGATGTTTCCCGGTGATACTTATTGTTTGTTTCGAAGTATCTTAGTACTTCGATATTCGCACTCGATACACAATTGAGTTCTCTCCTTCTGTAATTTCTGGCTTATAGCCACTGACACGTTGTAGTATCAGTTCTTGTCGTGACACTACAAACACCTCAAAATAATTTCTCAGTCGCGTCTTCGGCACGTTGAAGACAAGACTCCATGCGGAAATATATGAATAAGTGTGATATGCACATCGTGGAAACTTTGAAGAAAAATGTTGTTTAATTCGAAGGGAGAGTATTTTATCATTTGAATTAGCGACTAGTGCCCAAAAGAGCCGCTATATTTGAGAAGCGAGCAAGGTCCGAAGTTTAACAGGGTGACCCTATTCGACGGAATGATGGAACAGTGGAATGGTGAAGTACCTCGTTTTATGAAACATAAGTCTCACAAAAATGAAATTGCAATGAAAAAGGAAAATAATTTATAATCAACAGGCAAAATCAAAAGAAGCATGATTTAATCATTATTGGAGCCTTGAGGATAGACCGACAAAAAAAACAGTGAGGTTTCTTGAGCTAGCCCCCTATTAATTATCATCACTGTTACCATTATCATCATTGTTGTTGATATGATTATAAATATATGTTATTTGCCGGCTGGGAGGTCCGTATGGTGAAAAACTGTGACCGAGGTCTTGAAAATGCTGCCCGAGGCCACAGTTTTTCACTATACGGACCTACCCTTAGCCGGTAAATAACATATATTTTTTTAAACTTAACGAAATACACTCTGAAAGAACCCGAATGATTTACGGCTATAAATACGGCAAGATCTTCCATAAACTGAACGAATTTGAGCAAGTAAATGGTAGTTAAAGTAGAGGTGATACAAATTAAAGAGAGATGCTTCACTGAAACATTTTCACTTGTGTAATGATAAAGGTGATTTAAAAGGCTTCCAAACAAAGTTTGAAACATTATTTTTACAAGTATCTGTCACACTCTGACACCAGTCAATTAGAGAGCGCGTAAGAAAAAAAAGCGCAAGAAGATTTGAAAAACAACGGAACTAGTTTGGCAAGGTCTGTCACGACAATGTTTTCTTAAAAAACAGTCAATGATCTAACGGAAAGTATTATTCACTCTCATCGACGATTCATTCACGTACGAAGATTTACCTCTGTTCATTGGGTAAACGGCCAGGAAAGTAATTGTGAGTAAATTCAAATTTTTTATTTTGAAGTTGTGAGAATTTGCTCGTTTGTTTGCTGCAACGGCGTGTGTAAATCTGGTCTTTCCTCCACAAAAACTAAATTCGAACGGCACACTCCAACGAGACACAAGGGGATTTAATGCGGCTTTTTCTCAATAAATTCCTTCAGTTTCTGTTGTGCAATTTATGGTCCAAATGTCCAAATTGAACGGACTTGGAAAGACTCACTGAGAGCGTATATTTATTGTCGAACTGAAATTAAAACTTCGCTCGCTCTTTCACTACAAACAAATTGTTCGAGAAAATTCAGATATTAAATGAATGAAAGTTCCATTGTTCAGTTTACCTGTAACCAAATACCTCACGTTTTAACTTTCTAGGTACTTTTTGTGAATGATTAAATCAATTGCAGATGGTTTTTAGGCCGCTTGTCAACCAACGCAATGACACTATTGCTTATATAAATTCATTCTGAAACCAACATTTTTTTGTCAACCAAAGTGATTTGATAGAGAGAAAAGAGAGGATTCATAAGTCGGCTTAAGGTAGTGGCCGATGTGTTTGCTTAAAAATACTGCCCAGCCGGCAAAATGAGGTATATTTATGAAAAATGGCAACGAAAGTTGGAATGTACTCGGCGACTCACAAAAGCGTTACCGTGGCCCGTGGGCAGAGATAGGAAAATACTGACCGGGTAAAGAACCAATCAGATTGCAGGATTCGTTACCGTGCCCTCTAAAAATAAAAAAATAATATACGATTATTTGCTTTTTGCTTTCACTGAATGCTCTGTCACGCTGCCACCTCTGCCCCCAGTATAATCGAGCGTAGCGTGACAAACTCACGAGAGAGCTTCGTGCTTCGTTCACTAGTCACGACAACTTCGCCACGTTTGTATCTGTGAATTACCGCCATGAGCTTTTTAAGGCGACTGATTCCACGTTCGAAAGTTGATATTAAAGACAAATTTGTTTTAATTACGGGTTGCGATTCCGGTTTCGGTCAAGAGACAGCCGTTCGACTGGATAAGATGGGGGCTTGTGTGTTGGCGACTTGTTTAACGAAAGAAGGTGAACAAAGTTTGAAATCTGTGGCGAGCGATAGATTGAAAACTTTCCAGATGGATGTGACTAGTTCGCAACAAATTAGGGAGGTCTACGAAGAAGTTGAAAGATATATTCCTTATAACACAGGTAAGCTTGCTCTTCAAACCAATGTACCAGTTTAATGCGGTTGAAGGCCCGGGAAGTGTTCGTGAAAACCAAGTACTAATAGGATAAAATCACTAAATTTCCTTAAAAATTATTTATTTCGATCACAGTTGTGAAATGAAGGACTTCTCGTGTTTTCATGGATGTGCCACAGCATAAAGAGTTGCAAATTGATGCAAATATATACATCAGATGGATGAATTCGATCGTGAAAAACAAATGTTTGAATGCTTGAAGCGACGTAAAATATGATTATCGCGCGTTTGTATTCCTAGAATCCCTGCATCACGTCCCGATAATTTACTCTATTAATAAATCTTAGCAGAATTAAAAAGGTGAAAAGATACATTTACTTAAAATGGTCAGTATCTTGAATGTACCAACTGCCACTATCAAATGATATTTGTGAAGAGCACGAATCCAACATTACACGTAACGTTGGGCGCTTGATTGATCGAAGTAAGTTTAATTAGAAAATGATCACCGAGTGCTCACGCTTGATGTAAATTTCCTAAATCCATAGATATAAGCGAGAATTGACGAATAAAATGAGCCACATCGTAGTATAAAGTGATTCTAATAACCCATTCGTGTGCTCAGCGAAATAGCGTGACGCGACCGGATATTTGATACGATTCTTGTGACGTAGAAAAACAGGCGACGCGTGACAAAAAATTGAAAGCTGGGGTGTGGGGAGGGGGGTGCACTGCAGGACAACTAAATCCGAGTTGTAAATTAAGTTAAACGTAAATTTCCTTACCAAGCTGAACATTTACTCAGTGTTGTTTCAGGCAATTTCACCATGACGAAAATTTCCTTCAATCTCATTTCCACCTTTTTGCATAAGAGTGTGTGAAAATGGTAATGTATCCCCACTAATTTTTCTTCTTAGAGGGCTGAGATAATAATGTTTGTTTGTTGGACCTGCGCAAAGTAGTGCTGACTTAAAAGAGTCACCAAACGGTCTCTGTATTATCTTTCTTGTTTCTCTATCGCTAGGATTGTGGGGCCTCGTAAATAATGCTGGAATCGCCTATCTTGGTCCCATCGAATGGACACCGCTGGAACATTTTAAACGCACCGCCGATGTTAATCTTTGGGGGACGATTGACGTCACTAAAACTTTTCTACCGCTGGTGAAAAGAGCCCAGGGACGAGTTGTAAATTTCTCAAGCGTTCTCGGTAAGTCGGGTGGGAGATCTAGGGGAAACACCCCACTTCCCTATTCCCACATCCCTACCGTTCTTGCTGCTCCAAAACCAAGGTATCGAAATACTTTAATATGTGAGTAAACATTTTCGGGAACGGATCCTCTCCAGGTCTGCGTTTGACAAGTGGCACGAGTAAACTATCAGCAGCTCTCTGAATGTAATGATGTATCTCGTTTCTGGTTTGCTTCCAGGTGTGTAAATCTGCGTGGCAATCGTTCTATTTTAACTTTCCAACGTTCCTTTCGCTAGTGCATCATTTCCAACAATTGACTTAAAACTAAAGTTAATAATCGGACTCTTTGTCCATCCACTCAACAGGTCGAGTATCCCTTACACTACTAGGATCTTACGCAGTAACAAAGTACGGTGTGCAAGCATTTTCAGACGCTCTCAGACGAGAGATGAATCCTTGGGGAATAAAAGTTAGCATTGTGGAACCCGGTGGATTCCGTACTGAAATTACTAGAGCACGCTTAGGACAGAGACAGCTCCAAGAAGGCTGGAATGGATTGAATGATGAACTAAAACAAGAGTATATGGAAAAAGGTAACAATAGCATCTATTGCAGAACTGCAGTGGTACAAAATCTCCAGCTTTCTTCTCCTACTGCATGCATATGAAAAAGTAAATAGGAGGCGCACGTCAGTAGAAATAGAGATTAACTACTGACTGGGTTAAGACCTTCCATACTACCGAATCAAGAAAGAGTATTTCTACATCTATAAATAGAGGTGCTAAGTAAAAGGGAGTTTAAAGGGGCTCTTTGAGACAATTTTATGTGAGTTTATTCATTTCAGTCGCGGTAGTATGCACAGAACAGAACAGCATCATCATGAAAATTAGATTTAAAAAAAACACATTTCAAATAGAGATTTCGTACGCTTTTACATCACATCTGAACTTCATCCAGCTCGCCTACGGACCCAGCCATAGGGAAGGGTCTAAAATTTTAGCGTCCGGGTCTGTCAAGGGAGCTACACTCCATAGACTGGGGAAAGTTAAGCGTCACTTGACCACACCGATAAGAGATGTCCAGCTCTGAGAAGCAGGTCTTAAAACTATTAGACTGATCCTTTAATCTTTCAGCTGAAAGCACTTTTACGGTTAAAAAAAGATGAAACGTTGAATTATGAAATATAGATTTGCCTACCACTGTTCTTCTTTTAGGTATTAAATTGTTTCTTCCAATGCGACCTTCACCTCATACCTATAAAATTGTCGACGGCGTTGTCGAAGCTTTGACGTCAGAGTCACCACGTGACCGATACTTGATTGGTTTGGACACCCCGGTTTACGCGTGGTTGGCAAGGTTACCAGCTGTTTACGGAGATGTCATAATCAAGCTTTTATCTATTACGCTTCCATTGCCACCGAAAATTACAAAAAATAAAGCTGTAAAATAAGTGAGCAGTGAACTGAGCGGCAATCAACACTCTTTCTTGATATTTTGAACTGAATTTGAAGTATCGAAAGGCTCGGAACTGGAAAATAAAATCAAATACTCAAAGAGTCACTGAAAAGCTCGTTATCCTCAGTTGCGAGATTGCCAAATTGCAAGTTCTTGTCAATCACCTACGTTCACGACAATCCACGATGTGAAAACGGTTCCCGAATTTAGTTCTATGGTTAGTCACAGAAGCTTATAACCTGTAGGTCATAAGCTTCTGCCTGTAACCATTAGCGTTTGTATCTGCAATTGCAAGGCTAAGTATGCTTACACGTTTTTACTCTCAACATCTTTGCCATACTTCTTTTTCAAAGTCAGGAATTCACGAACAACTTTTTCTATTAAGCCATCATAAATTGATGCTCCGGTGTTCAAATGGTGCTTTCAAGATATTTCTGACTTCTCGTTGTCATTTTCATTTAGTGGTTTTGATCTGCACTTTAGGAGTACGACTGTATTTTAACCCTTTAACTCCCAAGATTTCATTAGTAATTCTCCTCACTGCCTGCCATACAATTTATGTGATGTTGGTTTGGAGAATTTGGAATTGGATCAACCACTAATCCCCTAATTGATATTTTTCTTTATTCTCATTACTTGTCTGCTTGAGATCAAACTGATAATGTAAGGAGAAATTCTGTCGAGGTCACTAGTGGGATTTAAAGTGTTAACAAAATATAGCTCTTTGTGTTGATCATTTTATTGCCTGGGTCAGCTGGGTAACAAAGTTTTTTACCTTTTTAACCGGGAGTAAGGCTCTTATCAAGTATGGGAATTGAATTTATATTTCCATCCACAAGGCTTGAAGACTGTGAAATACTATAATTGTTTGTTTGTGTGAGTGTGATGTCTGTATAGTTTGTGTATATAGACCATATGATACCTGTACCTCTGTTATAAAAGTTTAATTAATAATAACTTAATCCAGCTCCCTGTCATTTCTAGCTGAATAGTTACTCTAGTTGGCTGGTATCCTCTGATTATCATTATTAATTATCAATTGTTACATATTGTTAAAAGTTGATGTAGGGTACAATAAAGTTATTGTTGTTGTTAGTGCAAGGAGCACTTGCCACTGTGAAAGATAAATTGCAGTGACTCAAGGACAGGCACCCAGCTAACAAATCAAAACTATTTTGATCCCAGACAAGGTATAAATTGGAGGCAAAGGGAAGAATCTATTTCTGACTACATGAGGTTTACTTGCTGGTGACTTCGAATAGATCGCATGAGTGTTTGAGGCAGTAAAAACAACCAAGTTTCTGTAAATAGCTTGTAAAGTTGAGTAAGTATCTGAGCATAGACTAGTAAAGGGTTAGAGTTTCAGAGAACAAGGATGGCTCAGTGGTGATAGCACTTGCCCCCCACCACTGCAGCCTGGTTTCAATTCCTGGACCTGGCATCACATGTGGGTTGAGTTTATCATTGCTTCTTGTCCAAAGGTCTTTTCTCAGGGTCCTTCCCTTTTCCTCCCTCCACAAATATCAACACTCCAAATTCCAATTTGACCTGGAAACAGTAGACAAGAAGACCCACCTACTGGAGTGGCCTTTGCTAAATTCCATTTTTAAAATTATTACATTAAGAGTACCTACACAATAAATATTATTATGAAACATTACACTCACTATGAAAAATCTGATTGGTCAAGAACATGGAATAAATATACAATAGCCTGTGAAACTGACATGAAAACCCAATCTCTGAAGTGGATATTACAATGATTGTTATCCTAGCCCCTCATCCATGTAGTGCTCTTGCACCTTCAGCTTAAGCAGATACCTCACACCCACATTTTGATATTCTTGATATCATGCTCAACCTCATCCAATAATTGCTTATTGCAATCTGGCTATTTGATTACCACCTAATTTTTTATTGTGACCAGAATATTCTAGGCCCAAATACCCCTAAGGATACAGGGTAACTATACTGACTTGTATGGTTTACTGTCACTTTTCCTTAATATTTTGATAATTTGCCCATGCATGCAATGAATGCACTTTGCAATCTTAAAATTTTGAGACTTGGTAATATTTTAAAGACTGAAAACATTGCCTTTAGACACATAAAATGAAGAATTATGAAAGTTACTGAGTCAGGGATTCTTGCTCAAGGAGAAGGAAAAGAAAAAAAAAAGGTAATACTATGCAGCAAACCTGAATTTCTAAAAAAGTACAAAGGCACTAGATTTGTTACATCTGCATTTAAATTCTTTGAAGCAAAATGTGGGAATCTCATTAAGTACATCTGACCCACTAGTTCAAAGGGTGGATAATATATTATCTACTGGGATATTATCTACTGGGTAAATCACTGTCCAGTTGATAGTGCAGTATGTTTTGTGAACACTTATCCACTTGATGGCAATTTATAATTATTTTATATACGTTATGTGCCCTTGAACAACTGGACACTGCATGAACTTTAAAGTTAACTTCAAGTTCATAGAGTCTCCCATGTATAAAGCTCTCAAACCACAATGTCAAACAGCTTTCATTGAGCACTCAAAACTATAGCTATTTAAGCCTTGCTGGTTCAGGGTGACCAGCATATACTAGGGAGCATTTTAAGTTTGTTCTGCAATCTGCCTCAATATAATTAAGTGGAACATTTTGCAAGGTAGAAACTGAACTCATAAGGATGAATTATTATACCCATGAAATTGTTGGAACACACAGAGAAACTTTGGTTCTGCAGAATTATGCTCATAGTGCATAACCCCTGACAAAACCCTTCATTTATTTAGTCAATAGGAATGTTACCATTTAAATCAAGACTTGAAGGAAAAACCTCCAAGTTTCTATTAAAATTATGAAAGTGTTTTGTGTTATTAAGATTTGTTTAGAAAAATTGGAAATTAAGAACCAAATGTAAAAAACTGTAACAAGCATTATCAATAAAGCCTGCAATGCTGACTATAATATCAACATGGAAACAACTGCTTCAAAGGCATCTACACAACTTTGCATGATCAACGTATTTAATAATTTTTGCTTTGTGATGTAACTTTGTTGGGTTGCTTTTAAAAAAATTGAAAAGCTATGTACCTGGTCGTGTTTATTATCATTATTATTACCATTTTAAACATTTATTTTAAATATAAAGTTTTCCAGACTGGCTACACGTCTACGCATGAGCAAATATTGAGGTCAACAGATACCCGTATGTTTGGAAAGTCTCAATGTGAGCGAGTGAAAAAACTGTTCGACTTATGAAAGAAAGTACTATAATGTGCCTCTCAATTTGATGCTAATCAGTCCAAAATCCCGAGAATTACATAAGATTTCTGACAGTAAGGTATCATATGGAATTACTGAAACGTCTTTGGATTTATGTAGTGAAACAGTGCTGATTTGTTGAGCAAATTGAGCCCCAGTGTCTCTCCTTACACTGAACAAGTACACAGCGTAAAACTTTGCAGACGTATGTAGAGAGTAAACCTAAAAAGGGCAGTGGAGGGTTATCTTGAGGTAAACTTACTTGAGAAGAAAAGCTTTGAGCATTAGCCATAATAGGGCGCAAAAACAGTGCATATAGGACTGATAAGGCAATTAAAACGCGCAAGATATTCTAGAGGACTTTCATATTTGACCTACACCTTTAGAGGGATGTGTGATTTATTTTAGTTCGTGCAGATAAACAGACCAGTTATTTGATCTTACCATTTAATCCCGTTCATGAAAAACTGTTGGACTTTCTTATATGAGAAAGGCCTAGTCTGCTGGACTCAAGGAAATCAGATGGTGCTATTCCATCATGTAAGAACTGAGTGAATATGAAGGAAAACAGTATCCACACGCAAAATTTAAATCTCACTGCAGTTTAATCACTCAACCACATCTTACAGGCATGCTCAAAAAAGTAAGACCAATTATTCACCTCAACAAGCAATGAGAAAATCATGAGCGCACTATTTCATAGTAAAAAGGAAAAAGCTGTGTACTAATCTCAGGTTTCTTCACTATAAGTAAAAGTTCATCGTTTTTCAGAATTTGGTTTTAACATGAGTAAAATTAAACACTTCAGAGAACAAAGGACACACACTAATTGTCTACGCGGCCAAAATCTTGCGCGCTTCTCGCACACACGTTATGGCGATCGACACTTGATCTTTAACAAGTTGCCAGTTGTTGGTCTTGTCGATGTCGAACAAGGCATCGGTGATTCCTGGGAAGCTAGAACTACCATAGATGTTGTGCATCTGAGGCGCAAACAGCACGTGGCGAACTCGTGTCCTTCCCGGAAGTCCGAATGGCCAAATGAAAGCGCGCTCCATGTTCATCATCTGATCATTAAGAATACGCAGTTGGGTGAAGTCCTTGATATCACTAGCGTTAGCCTTTCTTTGCTCGAAGACGTCTGCAGTTTTTGAAAACTCTGCTACCTCACGAGCCAGGTAATTAAGAGTTATATTTCCCTTCAAGAGTTCAGATTTATGGACTGTTTCCAAGGTATCAAGGTTACGTTTCAGAGCTATTTTGTAGTCCGTGAGATTGTAAGGAAATAAGGGAGTGTCAGCAGCCGCGAGCAGAATTCTTGCACCTATTTGAGACATCGCCAAGTGAGTGGTGAAATGTGGATCGTTGAAGGTTTTTTGCCAGTAGAATGTGTCATGAACTGTGTGATAAACAGGATATAGGGTCCTGTTCATGCTCCTAAATCTGTAACTCATGTCAATACTTGATACTCCAATGAAATGACTGAAAGGTGCATAATCAGATCCAGAGCCTAGACCTCCGAATTGAGGTTTTCCAGGAGATGAGGAAGGATATTTCTTTGACCAGCGATCATAAACATTTGCGCTCTTTTCGCGCTCATTGGGATCCTTCACAGATGCAGTTTCTCGATAAACAAGTGACTTTAAGGAAGGATTCCCATTTGCTCCAAAGCTGTAGTTTCCTTTCACCGCAGAGTCAACATTCAGATACATGACTGCTTTGTCTCTTAGCATGTTTCTGTTTTCTTCCACCCATTCATATGAACCGATTAGACCATATTCCTCAGCGCCCCAACTGCAAAGCTTGATCGTTCTCCTAGGCCGCCAGTCAGTTTCGTTCAGTAGTTTTCCCAAGCCGCGCGACACTTCCATCATAACCGCTGACCCACTTGAAGGATCCACTCCGCCAAACACCCAAGCGTCTCGGTGATTTCCCATAAGCACCCAACGATCGGGCTCTTCTTTTCCAAGGATCGTACCAATGACGTTATACGCAGGCAACGTAACGAACTGGTTGTTCACCTCCAGTCTCACTTTCAAGTCTTTATCTGGGGAGCCTGGGCCAAACTTATAGACGATGCCTAGGCCACCTGCCCAGCTTGAGGGTACTGGTTGACCTTGGTGAAGTACCCAGAATTTAAATTCAGCGAAAAAAGATTTTCGAAGATTGATTTGGGTAGATCATTTAGCTAAATTATATATCAGGAGTTACCTCTTAGGAGTACCCCCTTAAACATAAAAAGATGTCGAGTTATATTGTGGCCTTCCTCGCCAAGAGTTTTCTTTATAGGAAAGTTTATTGGCGGAGAGTTTGAGCCCAATTGTAAGGTGTGAGGAGGTATGATTCAAATATATCTTGCCCTACGCCTCTGACAAATAAAATGGACATATCTCTTCAATCTGCTACTTCCTACTTTTCTTTAGGTGATGTTAAAAAAAAAAATCAATTCAAGGGGAGTGCCTAATGATTCCATTATGGTCCGAAAGTTTCAAACCTCAACAAACGTAGAGCTTAAGTCACTGCCTCACTGAGGGGACGACACTAAATAAGTGACATCATACCTCCAAGACGCTTCAAAAATTCGACAGCATTATCATACGTTAACACTTGTGCAGGAATTTTCGGTATGGCGTCGGTGTCGTTGATGGCTAATCTGTAAACGCCGTCTATTGATGGCAGGAGAGGGGTCAAAGGATCACCATCTGCTAAGCCAATGGTTCCTCTCTGGGTACCAGTTCCTGGAAGCCACCATGTCTTTGGGAACGTTTCCTCCATCCCTTGCGGAGAGTAGTCCGCTGGATCAGAATATAGCAGTGCACCAACAGCTCCACAGTTTTGGGCGTTTAGGACCTACAGGAACAAAAACGTTTGAGAATCACTGAATTCAGGGCGTGAAATTGCGCCTAATACAGGCGCCAATGCGCCTAAATTTTTCACTTTGGCGACCAAATCCTGAAAGTTAGTCGCCAAATTGGCGACTAGAACGTTTCATCATAACCTTACCAAGAGATATAGTGAATTAAAAAGATTTGCAAAGATAAATCCGCGGCAAACTTCCTCGTTAAGTTTATTTCCAAAACGTAGCACATGCATCTCGATCGATAACTAGACGCCATCTTGGATTTAGATGAGCCTGAAGGTTGTATATCATCCATCCTAGTGTCCACTTTGTAGCACGTTAAAGATCTTTTCCCTAACTTAATTTTGGAGAGTCTATCTAGAACGCTGACAGCGTAAAGAAAGATTTTGTTTGTCTTTGAAAATGGCGACCAACTTTTTTTGAATTGGCTACCACTTTGAAGAATTTAGGAGCCAAGTGGCTATCAGAAAAAAAAAGTTAATTTCACGCCCTGCTGAACAACCATGCAAACGACACTAGGCGTTTCTCAAATTTTACCTTATTTCCTCGAAATATTTTTCCATATCGCATGATCACAATCTTTCCAGTGCATTTCAAGTTTCTCTTCTCTAATTCTAGGAAATCGTCCACAGTACCGTAGTTTGCGTACATCAGTTCAGCCTCCACGATTCCCGGTGGAGAGTAGCCCAGGAAGGGTGGCAGGACAAGAGGGTCGTTTTCACTTGGCTCAGCGATCTAAAAGCCGCAAGCAAAAAAATATTTCCCCTTCAATTTTTTGAAATAAAAAGAAATTTGGAGAAACAAATGATTACAAAGTTCGACGCTAGAACGTTAGAACTTCTAAAAGCTGTTTTTATGATATTTTTAGTGACGTTTCAACATTACTTCACGTCATTATCAAGTCAAGAGTAAAAAGGACAAGTGAAAATATATTAAGTAATGCAAGAACAATGAAAATTTTATTTTTGTCCCTCTAAATATAGTTCCCAGAGGTGAACTATAGACCTTTTGGGGAACTGTACCATAGGAATAAACACATTCTCTCCATTGTTGTTCCTAACTTAACATGTCTTTCACTTGTTAGTTTAAATAGAACTTTTAAGAAATTGAAAGGAAAAATACAAACAAACAGTTGTTATATGTTCTAAGAATTAATTATGTTTTTAAATAACGAGTTAAGACGATACAGAAGGGACAAAGCTAAGGCATTTAAATGTGTAGGACGGCTTGACATGCAAATTTAGAACTTGAGTGCTAGTTTTGTCCATCTAAACAAGTGAGGATAAAAAATGACTGGTGCTGGATATGAGTGCCTTTTTTGCTTCGGGGTTTGTCTGTGCACAATCAATTCCGAGTTTATCCTAGTTTTTACAAATCACCCTAATAACAGCAGGGGGTCACTCGCCTTTTCAGGGCCTGTTACGTTCCAGACAACTCTTCCTACGAGCACGTCGATGATTTGAACGACGTTGGGTTTATTTCTTGGTGGCCTGGATAGAAGGACGTCATATCGCACCATTTCCACGTGATCAAACTTATAGCTGACCCACTTGTCACGGATATATTCGCCAAGCTTTCTGTTTTGCTCTCCACCACCAACGTGGGGGCGCTTTGTAAAAATGCTACACGAATAGATATGAGTGAAAAGTTAGCTGAATCAAATGAAACGAACGCGAGGCGAGCGCGAAGGCCTCACGCTCGCCTCGAGCTTGGTAAAATGGAGCGAATAGTGAATGGCACGAGGTTCGGCTTACAACCCGACCCAGACTTCCTTCTTCGTTTATTTCACTCATCCGCTAGCAGAAATTCTTTTTGGGATCACTTTCTGAAGGAGCTTAGATACCAGGCTCAATTAGGTAACCAAGCCTTCTGATGATTTGTTTACAATTCTATACTCACCTCCCCCAACTGGTTGAAGTGCGATTGGATGGGGACAGGGAAGGGAACATTTTTGTTACTTGCGCGAGAAAAAACAAATGGAGAGTTATCTGTTAACCCTATTTTTTTTGTCATTTTCGCGTGAAAGAATATTACCTTATCTGGCTGCGCTCCGTTCAAATACGAATCTTCTGCCTTTGGCTAAAATACGCTTTCTTCGAGAATTCTAAACTCTACTCACGGTCAAATGGAACCGAAGGGAATTTCAAACCTAGAAAATACTTGCTTCTGAATAGTGTCTTAGCTCTGCTCTCGGTGACGTTTTTCCGAAGGACTCGCTAGGTTGCAGAACAATCGCAAGAAGTGCACCTCGTCGAGTACAGGTCTTGAAAATGTATTCAATGTTAAAAGAAATCCTAGCAGGCAAAAAAAATTAACCTTTCGGTGAACTACGTAACTGAACCAAGAACTTTTTTTAACGGACCACAAAATTCGTCGTAAGTGTAGTAATCCACTTATTTATTCTTGACATTAAGCTTATTTCGACTTAATAAAGCAATTGGTATCAATCATATGAAAATAAGTATTTGACAACTTGATAATCTTGTTAAAACGTCATAGGAAGTTGTACCTTTAAAGAAGCTACGTGTAAAATCTGTTAGGCCTTTTCACTCTTAAAATCCTGTAACGCGAGGCGCAGCCGAGTGTGTCACTGATGTTCTTACCACATTTCGACGTCCTCTGTGATCTATTACTGAACAGACGCACGGCAACTTGGGATCTATTTGTTTTAGATAATAAAGAATTTAAAAAAGTTTTAATTATGACGTCATCTATACGCCTGTCCTCTATAATAAGTGAGTGAGAACCAATCAGAATGCGTGCATAACTGAGCTTATTATATAAACTCTCATAGAGCACGCTCTTTCAACCAATGACAGCGCGCGTTATATCCGAACTTTATTATAAATAAAAATCTGCCGTGCTCAAATTATTCAGCGCCTTCTAAAAAGAACCATTCGACAGTTTTCGGGGAGGGAAGTCTATCTAAATTTTAAGTCAGCCGGAACGATCATATCGCATATAGATTTCCTTGAACGAGTTAGCTGGGGGATCGAACGAGGTTCCCACTGTGGAAGTATTTTACTCAGCTTGGAAGCAAATATCGTCGTAAGGTGCTAATACAGTTCGTCTAGCCAGCAAAGCCGTGGACAAATCGACAATGACCTTACTCGTCATCTTAATGACAGGATTTTTCTTGCACCAAGTAAAAGGCCATCCGTGTAGTACGACTGGTATTTACGGAATAGCTGACTGCCAGTGCAACTTTATGGAGGCCTGTGATGTACAAGAGAACCCGAAACCCAACTTAACACGATACTTGCCAACAGGCGTGGATCAGCTCGGGCTTGTCGAGGGAGGACAACAAAACCTGGCGTATTTGTGTGAAGGTGCTGGCGCAGTGGGCATTCTGTATGACTGCAATAACCGAATTCCTCTCTATGCTGCCACCGTGATTAACGGGACCCAGCTATCGGGAAAGAGCCTCGGGGGTCGACCAAATATTAAATTTTCACTTAGCAGAGAACTCCATCGAAGTTTTCAGCAACGAAATGGAGATTACAAAGATGCTTCAAAGCGAGAACTTTGCTATTTATCTTTACAAAATGGGAGCAAGTACGTCGTCGAAGAAGACTGGTTAAAAGCAAGTAAAAACCTTTCCGAGACTCTGCTCTGTCCTGGAGGGTCAGTTGTCAAAACATCAGTTCACCGCGGACACTTGATTGCCTCACAGTATGGCCGCAACAATCAAGCAAAGAAAAGAGCAACTTTCAAATACACCAATGCTGTCCCCCAGTTTGGAGTGTTTAATTCGTACCCTTGGAGAGTCTGTGAGAGCCGACTCATTACATGGGGAAATCAAAACTGTGCTCAGGTTAGAGGAGCAACGGATGTTCGGTTATTTATCGTGGTTGGTGCTATCCCATCGACAGTACGTGGATCCTCGAAACAGAGATATTTTGGCAAAAGGGGGTTCAGTGACCACAAAGATACTAGCAATTACCGGGTGAACGTGCCTAGTGGCATGTGGACCGCTGCCTGTTGTAGTTATAGCATTAACGGAACATTGCAATATCGCAGCACGGCCTTCTGGAGAGAAAACAATCCAGGAAACGCGCCATGTAAAAGGACAGACGTAGGCGACTTAACGAGATGGTTGTCCGGATGCATTCACGGTGGCACCAATTTATTTCCGCAAACTCCTCAGTGCAACAATATTGGAAATTATATCCGTCTGCCGTGATAAAGACACTAGACACAGCGAACATAGATTAACAAAGGTCACCAAAAGCTTTGATGGAGCTTATTAAATTTCAGCATGTAGCTAAATGTTTCATTTTTTAGACCTGGGTCAAGTCCAGTAAGTCTGTAGAAACACCGGGCTTGTGATCAGGCTTGTGATCACGCTTGAGCCCACGTTTATATTGGAGCACTCCTTTACATATTTGGTTTTAAACTCGATAGTGTGATGAGAAATAAATTTTTAGGCAGTTCGATGTTTAAATTTTATATCTGGACTTGCTAAATTGCAGTTAGCATCACTCATCCCTGATCTAAATTTGACTTCCATGGAAATAGATATGTGACAAAGTAAATAAAGTTGGTGCTTCTGAGATAAACTTCTTTCCTACTGAAATAATACTGCTGTAATGACACAGGTCAGATACGTAGAGGCGTGGACGACAATACCGAGTTTTCCAGGTTGTTTGAACACTTGGTGAACCTATTTGATTATATATTCTGATACATACATATCCGATACATATCTGTTTATCCGCGCACTAGAGCAACGCGAATTGTGAACCAGTAAAGCTTATCTAATATCATTACACTCCCACAAAGACATCTGGTTTTATTGCGTACCCTCTACTTGTTTATTTCGCAGGCAGAGCATCAGACCAATTCGATTGTATGATCTAGTATTCTCCTCTGTGAAGAGGCAAACATTTCGAATTTACTTTCTGTTTCCCGTCGCGTTCAACCTTAAGTAGTATAGGAGTTGGCGGTACGAGATCACGAAAAGATCGCGTACAAAAACGCCAACCCTCTATCTAACTACTTTCCATATTATGGAAATCATTTGATAAAATTATTTTACGAAATCATTTGATGGAATTATTTAATGGAATCATTTGATGGAATCATTTAATAATATAGGAGACTAGCGCTATGATCTCACAACATTTTTCTATTGCGTGACATTCTCAGAAAAACAGGAAATCAATGATGTAACAGGGACTTTCCCGAGGAAATGAGTCATCAGATTGCTATTGATCTTATGTCATGTGAAAGTCTCGTGAGATCACGTGATCTTTACAAATATATATTCAACACTTATTTTTGAAGAAAGATTATCATTAAAGTTTGTCAATAAAGTTTGTCAGTAAAGTTTGTCAGTGAAGTTTGTTAGTGAAGTTTGTCACTGAAGTTTGTCAGTAAGACGCTCGGCAGTAAGACCCATCTAGCGCTTGTAAGGTGTGGCCGGTCAGTTATAGCGATTCCTCAGGAATAAGAGTTGAGGAACGAAAACTTTGAAACTTTACATGAATGTTCTCCACCAAACACTGCTTCGATTAATATTATAAAAAGGTCAGGCAAATCTTGCGGTAACTGGAAGCAAGCACATGCAAGAATGTATTATATAGCTTTCGGAAAAGATAGTGCAATTTTTAAACAACATCGACTCAAAAGGTCATTATCTGTATCTTTGAGTAACGCCTTGGTGCATGCTTTCAGTTGTACCTATTTTTCTTTCCGGATTAATTTTTTTTTAAATTTTTGCACCTTAAAGGGCATCACTTTCACATCAAAATTCTAAAATGAATAGGTCACCGTGCTCTTTAAGAGGAAAAAACCATCTTTCCTCCATAGCACATCCAATGGCAGGATTGAGAGAAAAGAAATCATTCACGTTATCTGAATGCGTGCGTTTTTTTTTTCTAGGAGTTATGGGTAGTGTTATGCGTAGTACTGGTTGCGTGTTGCAATACTGAGGAATCACATCTTAATAAATCGACCATTTAGATTCGTTGGTTGTCACTGGTTGTGTAGATGTTGCGACTAAGCCAACCATCGGGTTTGTTATTTGTTGGTACCCATCGAGAGGACTCTGTTCTCAGTAAACCAGCCTTTCGTGGTCAATAGTAAAAAGTAGTGAGCGCTGATAACGAAACATTGAGCAGAGCTCTAGTCAAGGTCATTTATTTATCGTGGTAGGCCTTTGATTGAATAAGCGTACGGCGGATGTTGAAAGTATCGTGAAGTGATGGTTAAAGCTCTCACATCCTGATGTTAGACCTGCTATGTGAAATGACCTACTCTCGTCTAAGTTCCCCAACACCACCATAGCTGTGCGTGACAAACACAAAAGAAACATGGAATTTTATTGCTACAGTGTGCTCACTTGAGGCGGCCTTAGAGCCCAAGAGGTGTGTTTTGAGCGCAATTAATGCAATGTGTACTGAACTGTATTGACCTAATGTCG